AAAGAGACTAAAATTGCCACTGCATCGCACACTCCTTTAGTAACAAGGCACAAAAGAGGCAACTTTACCAGCAGGTTCCATTTAAGATCTGTTCTGAGAGCAGATCTTCTTTCATGAGTTTCTGCTGCAGATCAGATCCTTTTATTTGTCTGTTGTTCAACTTTTAGTGAAGGTCCCATCAGCTTCATTGAACAGTTTAGTTTTAGGAAACAGAAACTCTGCCTTCCACTTATACAGACCCTTTCCAAAAAATTACAATATCATGGAAAAGTTATTTAACTTCCATAATTCCATTCAAAAAGTTCATCTTTAATCGATGATAGATTCAGGGCCCACAAGTTAAACAAGTTCAAGTATTTATTTTTTTATTTTTACATAATTTGGGCTTCCAGCTCATGAAACCCACGAAAACAAAATTTCAAAAATTATAATACTGTGAAGACATCAGCCCACACTTCTCAGTTTTTGCAGGAAAAAAAAAAAAAAAGGATCAGACCAAATTAATCAAAATATGGTATTTTCAAAATGACATGTCAATCTTCAATACTTGGTTGTGAATCTTTTGCCTTAATCACTGCCTCGATGTGACGTGGCATTGAGACAAGCAGCCTGTGGCATTGACTGGGAGTTATGGAAGCCCAGATTTCCTTGATGCTGTCAGATCTTTGTTGTTGGGTCTGGTGTCCCTCGTTTTCCTCTTGAGAATACTCCATAGATTCTCAATGGGTTTAGGTCCAGCAAGTTGTCTGGTCAGTCAAGCACTGTGACACGGACATCAAACCAGGTTTAGGTGCTTCTGGCGGCATGGACAGGGACCAGGACCTGCTGGAAGATGAAATCTGCATCTCCATACAGATCCTCAACAGAAGGAATCATGAAGTCCTCTAAAACATTCTGGTAGACTGTTGTGGTGACCTTGGATTTAAGAAAGCAGAGTTTACCAACACCTGCACCGGACATTGCACCTCAAATCATGACTGACTGTGGATATTTCACACTGGACCTCAAGCAGTACGGGTTCTGTTCCTCACCCTTCTTCCTCCAAACCCTTGGACCTTGATTTCTGAATGAAAGACAAACTTTACTTTCATCTGAAAAGAGGATCGAGGAACCCAACAGTTGTAGCCCATCTCCTGGATGAGTCTGAATGTGGTGGTTTTTGAAGCTGTGACTCCCGCCTCATTCCACTCTTTCTGGATCTCTGCCAGATTCTGGAATCTTCTCTGTTTGATAATCTGCTGAAGCCCACGGTCATCTCTTTTGCTGGTGCATCTTCTCCTGACACATTTTGCCCTTCCACTAGACTTTCCATTGATATGCTTGGACACAGCACTCTGTGAACAGCCAGCCTCCTTAGCTGTGAACTTTTGTGGCTTCCCCACCCTATGGAGGGAATCAATGATGGTCTTCTGACCAGTTGTTATGTCTGCAGTCTTCCCCATATTGAACCAAACTGAAGCAATTTAATGACACCTGGGGAAACCTGTGCAGGTGCTTTGAGTTTAGTAGATGATTAGTGTCACACTCAGTTTAAAACATTCATGCCCTGCAACATTTGGGCTGATGTCTTCACAGTATTCTAATTTTTTGAAATCCTGTTTTCGTGAGTTTCATGAGCTGGAAGCTCAAATTGTGTAAAAATAAACAAATAAATACTTGAAATCGTTTAAATTGTGGGCCCTGAATCTATCATCTATAAAGATTAACTTCTTGAATGGAATTATGGAAATTAAACAACTTTTCCATGATATTCTAATTATTTGGAAAGGGTCTGTATAAAAATAATAATTTAACATTATTTATCTGAGGAGCAGACTGTTTTGAGTTGAACTCCATCGAAGAACTCTCATCTTGAAAAAGCATGAAGGCGACAGTGGGAAGGAAAAACTCCCTCATGAGGAAGAAACCTTTAGCAGAACCAGGATCAGGACAAGCGTCCATCTGCTTCGACTGGTTGGGTTTGAGAGGAACAGATACACAATGGCAGGTCAAGAATCACATGTTAAGATAGAAATAGTATCAAATGAAAACTATTCAATTTTAATAATTCATTTAAAGAAATGAGGTCAATTTGTCCTCCAGTAGTCTAAGCCTATAGCAGCATAACAAGCCGACCCTAACTATAGGATTTATCAAAAAGGAAAGTCTTAAGACCAGTCTTAAAACTGGATAATGTGTCAGCCTCATGGACAGAAACTGGAAGTTGGTTCCACAAGTGAGGAGCCTGATAACTGAAAGATCTTCCTCCTATTCTGCTCTTGGAAACTCTAGGCACCGTGAGTAAGCCTGCAGTCTGAGAGTGAAGTGCTCTGTTAGGAAAATATAGAACAATAAGGTCTCTAATATATGGTGGAGCTAGGTTGTTGAGAGCTTTGTAGGTTAGAAGTAAGATTTTGAATTATATTCTGGATTTGACAGGGAGCCAATGGAGAGAAGCTAAAACTTGAGAGACATGATCTCTCCCAGTAACTCCAGTTAAGACTCTGGCTGCAGCATTTTGATCTAATGAAGACATTTTAAAGAAGTATTTGGACACCCAGATAATAAACCATTGCAATAGTCCAGTCTAGACGTGTCAAATGTATGAACCAGTTTTTCTGCATCATTTTTAGATAAGATGTTTCTAATTTTAGAGATATTACGCAGGTGGAAGAAGGTGGTTCTAGTAACATTTTTAATGTGGGGGATAAAAGACATGTCCTGATCAAAAATAACACCAAGATTTTTAACATTAGAGCTGGAGGACAGATTAATGTCATCTAAGGAGGGAGAAAGACTGAAAAATTCAGAGAGCTCAACAGGACAAAAACAGTCCAAACATAAATCAGGTTACAGTGATATTTTTAAAGTTGTCTCATCTGACAGGGAGCCAGAGGCAATAGTAGGAATGATGGATTGGATTTTCTTCCCAATTGAAATAATTTTATTTATAAAAAATCTCATGAAGTCATCACTGCTTATAGTTGTAGGGATAAATGGTTCAACAGCGATATGATTTTTCATTAGACTAGCTATGGTACTGAAAATGAACCTGGGGTTCTTTTTATTCTCATCAATTAAAAAAAAAATACAGTTCTAATTAAAGATTATTAAGTAAACTGCCTATCTACTGTATATGGATAAATTAATGGTAAAACAAATAATAGTTTGGATTTGACTTGCAAAATGTCTATGTGACAACTGGTATGATTTAGGTATAAATATCTGGAGTCAGTTAAATCCATTTCATTAAAACTAATTTTTAAATCTTTAGTTATTTAAATTTAATCAGTTACTTAGATGAGCTTGTTTTCTGTATGCTAGCATGGACACATGTTTCAGAGTCTTAAAATAAAAAAATGACTTAAAACATTCACCTGTTAACATTTTTTCCCTCTTAGCTGTGTTTATGAACAGTACAAACTCTGAGTTAAGGGAACAGCTCATCTGTGCAGCTGTACAGTGCAACATCAGTGAACAAAGCTGCACGGTTGCATCATCATGTAAGAAAGACTGTGATAACCAGCATTGTGTTGGTGCTGCAGAAAACAGAGAAGTGTTTCTCTCCGGCTCAGCTCTGCACTTGTTTTCTGCTCATCTCACAACAGAACGCTGAGTTTTGTGTTAACCACAGAAAATTCATTAGTTTAAATAATTTCCCTGAATCTGCTCTGTGGGATGCGCCCGACAGCTATTTATGTCACAAAACGAAGATTAAAACTGTAAAAATGTCCTGATTAGGTCCATGAGGAAAGCCTGAGGATCAAAATATGGATCATAAAGTGGGATCCCACTACCTGAGTGGGCTCAGTCTAATGATGGATCTCATATTAGGTGAACACATTCAGAAAAAGACGTTTTTGTTGCTTTTCTTGGAAAACTATCAAATGGCCTTTTCAGAGTAAAAGAACGGAACGTCCTAAACTGCATTAGGTCCTTTCCACTAACAGTACAGTAAAACTATCTGGTCTTTGACACCTTTCTTGCTGAAAATGACAGATTTTTCCACACATCGGTGATGCCTCCTGCTGGTCCAAGCAGTTTGTCACAAAGGTGGTTCCAGAGAGCTACCTGACCTGGTCGCATTTCTCTCACAAACACCTACTAAAAGGAAGACATCAAGCCTAAAGGCACAAATTACTCTTTATTTTACAACACAAGGCAGAAGTAGTAGCTAGAATAATTATTTTATTTACAGTATAAAGCCACAATGCTTGTTTTAAGATTAAATAGTGGAGTTTCATAATAAAAATACATTTTCTGATAATAAGAAAGTACCAATTTCATCTGCTAGTGACCAGAATCGACCAATTTTAGGCTTAACCTAAAACTGGTTGACTAATCCCAGAAAAATCTGATTTTATTCCCAGTCACTGAATGCATCAAAGCTAAACAGTTGAAGTAAAAGTTTGTTTTCTTTCTTTTTGTCCTGTTAAATGACTGTAAACTCACTAAGCAATAGCAAATCTTCAGTTTGAAAGTTGTGAGTGAAGTGTGAGAGGAGGTGAGACTAAAAGGAAACTGAGTTTACAGAGGCTTGTCTGCACCTCACTTTACAGGGTTGTCGAGTTTCGTTATAGCATCAGCTGCAGTTTAAACTCACCTTTAGCTTCTGAGGTGTGCAAAAAATATACAAGAATAAAAAGGACATTTAATCTGGTTTAGAAATATAAAGTAGCTCTTTTTTTTTATTTTTGTACAAATAGCTGTAGAATAACCTGTGAGATATTTGTCAGTTTTCAGTGGAAAATATGATAAGTGGTTCATTTGTTCAGATCAGCTTCCAGCGATAGACGCAAACATCATCAAATTATGTTTTAAATCATAACTACATGCAGAGAACAGAAGATTAATGATTCCGCTGAGGGAGAGCAGAACGTGTACCCTCACACACACACACACACACACTGGCACTAACCTGCGTGAGCGAACCGATACCATGGAGAGTGGCAGACTGATCTCAATAACAGGAGTCTGTTTCTCTTTCTCGCTGCGTAACTGAAGAGGAATATAAACAGACATAAACACAGAGGAGGGAACGTTCGCTTCTGCAGCGCCATCTGTCACACCAGGTTTATCTAACCAGCTGGTTACAGTCGTGGAGCCCGTAAAGGCACACTCACAGCGTTCTGTTTCTTCTGCAGCTCCTCCAGAGCGTCCACAAGGTTCTCATCAGCAACATCTAAAGGCGTCTGTCCCTACAAGGACATCAGCAGCAACTTATCAGCTGGGACTCGGGACTCCGCTTCAAAACCGTGATTTAATGGCAAGGAAAGGTTGTTTTGCTCTCACCACATTGTTGACTGCAGCCATATCGCACATGTGGTCCGAGAGCAGGGTGCACACCTCCTCCTGCCCCCAGTGAGCTGCTGCGTGCAGCGGCGTCCACCAGTCTATGTCCCTGCTGTCCACATCCACCCCAAGCTGTAACAGTACTCTGAAGGGGACAGTGGAAGCAACAAGAGGAGACAGCTTTTAATAAAAGCGGTTTAGCACCAAACAGGACAAAAGCCAACAGGCTCTCATGACCCAGGTGTGTTCACGCTGATTCTCACTTCAGGACTTCGATGTAACCTTTGGCGGCGGCGACGTGCAGAGCCGTTGCCTTGGTGTTAGGGTGAGGCCTCAGACGGTCCCCACCTTCCTTCATCGCTGTGGCATCCTGGAGCATGATCCTCTCCTCTTCTTTTCGAGCTTTGTCCACATCTATACCTGTGAGGCAAAAAAAAAAAAAAAAAAACTCATTTCAAATAAACAAAACCTAAAAACTTCCTGAACAGGAAATCTGTTCAGTTTATTTAGTTTTATGACATTTCGAGTTGAAAGTCACTTCAGTGTGATCAAAAATCTGCTCTAGTTTCTTATTTCAGTCCAAATTTAGATCAGAAAGTCGAAGACAAGACCCAGAAATGTCAAAATGCTTCATGGCAGTATTGTGGAGTCCTATTTTTGTTTTCATCCATGGCCCTATAAAGAACGAACAAGGCTTCATTTTTGTACATTTCATCTGTAAAAAGAAGCGTCAGTGCTTTCTCCACCTTGTTTCTTGATTTCTGCTCTGAGGAGCCTCTCCATGGCGTCTTCCGTGGCCACATCCAGAGGAAGTTCTCCTTCGCTGTTCACCGCCCCGACGTTAGCACCGTGTTCGACCAGGTATCTTTAAAAAACAGATGCGCAACCAGGAAATATTTCTTAAGTTCATCTCCTAACACTGAACAGAGCTCTGAAACGATAAAAACCAGTGCCATCACCAGGCCGTGGACCACAGCGACAGTGGTCAGCACTCACTTGGTGATCTGGATGAAACCACAGGAGGCTGCAGCGTGCAGAGGAGTCCAGCCCTCGTTGTCCCCTCTGTTGATGTCGCTCCCGTTTTCCACCAGAAACTGAACCATCTCTGCATTTTCATCTATACAGGCCTGAAAGAAGACGGGCAGGAACACCGTGTGTTACTGTACAGCAGAGAAGATCTCTGACTCACTTCACTTTAGTTTACAGTCAATGGCAAAACTCCAGACGTTTCCAAAACCTATTAGTCTCGACTAAAGCACCGGGACTAAAAAACAATGACTACTGTGTCTACTTGGAAGGACTTTTCACTAAGTGGGCCGCTAAAAGCCCTCAAGTACTTTCCAAAACAGTCGTTTCGTGGCATGAGTGGAACAGCGAATCAGTTCAACAGCTTCTCCTGAGGCCAAGTCAAGCAAAGATCTCAACGTGATCCAGCACAGGTCGCAACACAAACCTGTGAGGATCACATGGGATTGTGTTGTTCCTGGATGGTTACAAGTTAAGAAAATAAATAATCTAAAAGACAAAACCTTTCAAGCCTTAAAAGGCTCTAAAACAAGAAAAAAAAAAACTGGTTACTTTAGTAAACAAGTCAATGAAGTGTGATCATTGTCATTTACCGTCTACTCTTTAGAAGAAGATAATCTCAATATATCTGTGAAAACACGGCAGTCAGGTTAGACAAGATTTATGATGTAAGTTGATAATGAGGTTTTCTCTGTGGATCATATTACTGCAGAATGTCCCAGATCATCTTCCTACTGGGATCATCAGGTTTCACAGTTCGTACAGACGTTCACTCAAACGGTGTGTTTTCAAAGATAAGGCTGCTAAACCAAATAACAGACAATGAACACAGATTAAGCACAACACCCTAACAATAATCCTGCCATAATTGCAGAGGATTTATAGTCATTTTTAGTCCACGTGGAGCCGAGCTGCAGCAGTCAGTTAAAAGTTATTTCCAACATATTGCGCACAGTGAAAGTTGGATAAGATTTGAACACAACTGCAGCCGTTTGCTTAAATGTGTTTGTCTCAGAATAACCTAGAATGAAGCAACAAAGATTATTTTAGAAGTAGACTTTGAGATTAAAAGGCAGAAACAAACAGTTTACCTGCTTGAACACGGTTCGCATCCACGAATTACAAACAACGTGTTTTTGTTATTATACATATTTGTCTGAGTTCATTTAGTCTTTGAAAATTTTGCAATGACATATAAAAAATATATATATTTAAATCAAGATTTCTGGACGTGATGATATAAATAAAAGATGATTTGTTTGATTAGTACACTTTTTACTTTATGGTTCTGTTGTGATGGACACAAATTGTATAACTAGCCTTCAGCTACTTTAGCTAGCCTTAAGCTAATATAGTTGGCCTTTTGTTAATTTGTTTAGCCGTTAGCTCATCTTTTACTCTTCAGTTTGTTTATTTAGCAGTCAGCTCAATTTTTAACCTGCAGCTCATTCGTTTAGCCTTTAGCTAGCGTTCAGCTGATCTATCCAGCCTTCAGCGCATCTAGCTAGCTTTCAGCTTTTTCTTTTCAACAGCCACAGCTTCAGCAGATTTCAGTAACCACTCAGCCTTCTCACGTGCACCAGTGAACCTCAGACAACCACCACCCAGCTGATGGTTTGCAGGTTTTTTTTTCTTTTTCCTCTGACTGGACCATTAATCGTCAAAGAAAATCAAATCCTTTCACTTTTTTTTTAAAGCTTCCAACATCTACGACAGAATCTATACCGCCCACACTTCTCTGCAGCGGCCACTCACTGCTGTAGGTCAACGACAACATCTCGACTGATCTGATTCATGGTCTGTGGAGATGTACGGTCGGCAGATTAACGAGGATCTGACTCCATCCTTTGATGTCGCTACAAGAAAAAAAACGGTTGTGTGAGCGAAATAAAAAGAAAAAGGGTTTAAAGTAAGTGCTGGGTTACGACAAGACGATTTAGTGTCAGTCAGCTGCTTTCCTTTTAGAGATGTCTGCTGTACAAAAATACAAACTGCTGGAACGAGCCACGAAGCAAACTCTCAAAGTTTAAGCTTCAGAAAGAGCTTCGTTCTGTTCAACGCGTGCACAATAACATCATAAAGCAGGGCTTTAAATATATAGGCTTTTATTTTAAATGTATTTTTAATGCTATTGGATCGGATGCACCTTTGGCTGCCATAAAACTGAAAAAAAAAAAGGTCAACATTTGCAACATAACCAGTAGTTGAGACTTTTTTTTTTTTGGCTGATCACTGGAGATCTGACCGCACAGGAAGTTCCCTCACTTATAAAAAGAAGAAGCATTTTTTACTCCAGAGGGGTCAGTTAAAGAAAAACAGAACAACATCAAAACTATCTGCGATGTGAAGCTTGGACTTCCATCTTCAATATGTCGACAGGCAATGACACAAACTAGCAACACAAAAACTACTGAAAACACAAACTGGAACTTAAGTCGCAAAGAACAGATGAAAGTTTTACAAGTGTCAAATGTGTTGAAAACACTTATTTTGACTTTTCTTGGTACCAAATATAAAGATTAAAGCCACAGTAGTTGTTAAAATATTTGATTTGTCATTGTTTTTTTTGTACGTGCATCTTCCATCCATCATTTTTATCTCCCTTTTCCTTTCTGGGTGACTGTGCGAGAGGCGGGGGACGCACTGGACATGTCTCCAGTCCATCACAGGGACACAGAGACAAACTACTTCAGACCGTCTCGGTGCACAACGGATATCGAGTGGGTAAAATAATTCCTGTCAACAGAGTCGGAGGAGAACGATGGAATCAGAGCCCACGGGTCGAAAGAGCAATGGGTTTTTGTCTTCTTTTAAAAAGAAACGGCAACTGGAAGCTGTAAGGATGAGGGCTGATGAAAGTGGAGTCATTTTGGGGGGAGGAAATCGAGCGGTGGAGAGCGTTAAAGAAAAGTTGGGGCTAAGATCACCAACGATGAATTGTCTAATGTAGTTGTAAACAAAGGCGAGGAGTATTTGCCGTTTTCTAACTCAGTTTGAAGAAAAACTCTTTCCAGTTTGAGACTTTACCCTCCAAACAACCACTTCATGATGGAGATTGTGTCAGAAGCATAAATATTCAAATCAAAAGCAGAAAAATGGCGTATTTTGACAGCTGCTTGGGCTTTACGAGATCACAGAGGCCATTGTAATTCCTCTGGAGCAGGACGTGGACGTCCGCAACAAGTTTCGAAGCAATCCATCAAACCAAAGTCTAAACATTTCACTGTAAACCACAAATATAAACTTAGCGGTGGCCGGAGAGGAGCAGAGGGACCAGCTAACATGAGTGATCCTCCTCGGAGGACATTTCTGGGCTTAAAACCCAACTGAGAGAATGTTTTTATCTTCATACCAGCTTTAACTAAAACAGCAAACAATCAATGTTACTAAAATACAATCATACTCCATTCAGTTCTCTGTAAACCCATGTACTTTAGAGGTCCATCTTCAGGAAACATCTCCTTTCACTGCTTCACTGAAGATCTCCAGGTGTGTCTGTCTATCCCAGCAAACGTCCAGATGCATGCTCAATCATCCACGTAAATAAATACAAAAAAAAAAACGTTAAGTCGGATTCTTCCTGGTTGAAACGTTTCATCTTTCATCCAAAACACTTCTTCAGTCTGAGGCCATGCCACAAACTCAGTCCTATAAATAGCACCTTCTCAAAGTGGATCAGCCAGTTAGCTGGAGACATCCAGTACTGCATTAACTCCTCTGCTGCTAAACTGGCCCAGAGACAGACATGGAGAGAGAAAAACCTTTTCAACTTGAACAAAGTATAAAACACTGTATTAAAACCATTTATTCTTGCTGGTTTCAACAGTGCTTTTAGTTCATTTTGATTCTTTTTGTCGCTCTGCCAGAAACCTTGGTGTGATTTTTAACTCTGCCTTCAAATGTGAGAAATAGATCAACTCAGTTGGATAAACAAGCCCCGCCCCCAAACTATGTCTCCTCAGCTCAGAGCATCAGTTTTAAATTTACAATAAAAACCCATTTAGTTCAACTGGTTTTAGTTGGTTCAGCAGAACGTCTATTGGTTTTAATCTGCAAATTTAGTTTATCTTAACCCTCAAAATGTGTTAAGGAGAAAATTAATCAGGCAAACATTTATTATTCATATTTTTATTTTTAAAACATGACCGATCCTGACAAATCCTAAAAATCTTTCAAAATCCTTTCATTTTTGTCCAAACCGTTTCAACTGCTTCTGTAGCCTCTCGGCCACTTCACTGTTCCTAATGTGAGCAAAGACTGGCCCACTGACCCAATCAAAATCTTACTTCTAACCTACAAAGCTCTCAACAACCTAGCTCCGTCTTATAGTCGAGATCTTATTGTTCCATATTTTCCTAACAGAGCACTTCGCTCTCAGACTGCAGGTTTACTTGTGGTTCCTAGAGTTTCCAAAAGCAGAATGGGAGGCAGATCTTTCAGTTATCAGGCTCCTCTCTTGTGGAACCAACTTCCAGTTTCTGTCTGTGAGGCTGACACATTGTCCAGTTTTAAGACTTTCCTTTTTTAAAAAAAAAAATAAATCCTATAGTTAGGGTTGGCTTGTTATGCTGTCTTAAGATAAGAGTACTAAAGGACAAATTGACTACGTTTCTTAAAATGAATTGCTAAAACTGAATAGTTCTTATTTGATACTATTTCTATATTAACATGTGATTCTTGACCTGCCATTGTGTATCTGTTCCTCTCAAACCCAGCTGGTCGAAGCAGATGGACGCTTGTCCTGATCCTGGTTCTGCTAAAGGTTTCTTCCTCACGAGGGAGTTTTTTCTTTCCACTGTCGCCTTCATGCTCAAGATGAGGCTGTGATGGAGTTAAATTCAAAGCAGTCTGCTCCTCAAATAAATAATGTTAAATTATTATTTTTATACATGAATGTTTCTGTTAACTTTATTTTACATATGAATATTTATGTTCAGTGTCCTGAGATGACTTCTGTTGTGACTTGGTGCTACATAAATAAACTGAATTAAGTTTTTGATCCTGTATTTATCATATAATGAAATAAAGCATTGATTTCAGTTATGAGTTATTCTCAAAAATTCCATGTGGGCATCCTAAGAAGGAAAAATGCCAATGTTTCCAAACATTGCCATAAAAAATAATCTGTCAATTTAAGAAAAAAAAACTGAAATGAGGAGTTTTGTTGTGAGATTCTGAAAGAGCTACTGGTAATACAAATTTTTAATATAATCTAATTTGATACACAGCATATACTGTATATATTTGGTTGAGTTAGTTTGAAAAATTGACTAATATACGGTGGACAAAAAGATTAATAGTATTTTTGAGCAGTTATGCAAGGCAGTTAATTTGCCCCCCACAGAAACAAATACTGTACTGTCATAAAGTTAAAGGACAAATTAACTTCAGTTGTTTAATGTGGTATTTTACTCTATTTGAACGTTGCGCTTGTACTCAAGAGTAGAGCCACTGCTCCTCCACGCCGAGAGGAGCCAGTTGAGGTGGTTCGGGCATCTGGGCACCCCTGGACACCTCCCTAGGGAGGTTTTCCGTGCATGTCCAACTGGGAGGAGGCCCGGGGAAGACCAAGGACAGACTCAAGAGACCATGTTTCTTGGCTGGCCTAAGAACGTTTTGAAAAGGTGAAGACAGAGTTGTGTGAGCCTCCCTGCTCAAGATGCTAGCTAAATGTGCTAATGAAGTAGAACTATGATTTAGATCAATAGATCAATCAAAACTGGCCTCGTCAACTGGTCGGCTTGTCCGTGTGACGTTACAGCATCAAGTGTCTGCTCTGGACTCATTCGTTCGCTGTTAAGCCCCCAAAAGCTGCTTTGCTTTTGGGCTAAATTGTCTAATCACAAAGCTTCAATGAGACTCTCCAATCTGAGATGATGACTCAGACTGCAGCAGGGCGGTGAAAAAGTGTTACTGTAAAACAGGAAGGGTTGCAGTAAACTCCACAACTGGACGAGACAGAAGCTACAGAGCCGAGGGGGAGCCGTCCCAAGAGCTGCTCCGAGCCCAATGAATGAACAGAGGGCACTTCTCGCACCCCCTCCCAGCGTGCTGTGGAGGTACACACAGAACCTCCACGCAGACCCTTTTCCTGGGTCGTCAAGTGACTCATTGTGGGAAATCGCCTTCGACAACGGCAGCTTGTGCTGTTCGAGGAATGTTTTCCATTTCTTCATCCGCAGAAGCTCCAAGTCTCGTCCACGGGGAGCTGGCAAAAAACAGAGGAAGGAGAAAGGGAACGAGGGCAGGAGGAAGAGGAGGAGGGTGTTGTGGAGAAAGCCTTTAGATGGAGAGGACGGAAAGTTTGGAGTGCGGGCCTATATTTAAATCACGTTGCCACGCAACTGATGAGTAACAGAGGAGAGAGGGATGGAGCCCACACTGGGTCAACCAGCACCACGACACTATCTGAACGGCTGCGAAGGACGACTGAAAAGATGATGTACTCGTTGTAAATCCATCAAGACTTGCCTGTCCTCAGTGTAATGCGACGGCAGCGTGTTTGACACCCCGTGTCATAAACTGGAGGAAATGCTGCATCACTGAGGGGCTGTGTGACAGTGATGCTGTCCAGACTCAGTTATGACTGGAGGAGGACAAGTACTAAAACCTGCTCTGCAGTGCAGCCTGAAATACCATCTGCCCACTGGAAAACAACAAAAAAACCTAAGTTAAATCAAGAATTATTCCACAAACTGAAACTTGTTGTCCACACGATTAAATATATTTCTGAGACTCCATTAGGGAGTGTCTATCAAAATCCTGCCAGTTCTGAAAAGTATAAAAGATGATTCCCATGACTCTGATTTTTTGCCTAAAAAAGAAGCTCGAGGAAAAAAGAAAGAGTCAAACAGGCTAAAATGAACTAAAAGTATCCGTGTACACAGGCCAAGAATAAATCTAGATAATGGATGTCGTTTAATGCGACGCAGATGTTGGTTCACAAGTCGCTCATCTGACCGGAGGAGCCGGATCAGCTCAGGACACCAACGGCTCAGCGCGGCCGGCACAACAGCGACAGTCGGCGGCTACTCTCCCGGCGGGTCACCGCCACAAGGAAAACAGACAAACCGGGTTAAACCGCCGACCTGGTGAAGCGCCGTCAGTCCGTCGATGTTGGCGTGGTTGATGTCCGCTCCCTGCCGGAGCAGCGCTGCCACCTCCTCTCGGTCTCCGGCGGAGCAAGCGGCCATAAACACCGCTCCTTGGGCGAATCTTACTTTGGCCCGCCGCGTCCCCGAGCCGCCGGAAGAGGAAGAGCTGGTCTGCCGGGCCTCCGGCGCCGTCCGGTTCGTCTCGGAGCCCAGCCAACGCTGGAGCTGGTCCCGCCGTCGCTGTTTGGCAGCTTCCGACCGGGAATGGTCAGTGGCCGCCATGTTCCCTGGTCTGTCCCGGGACAGATTCAGCTCATTATACGAGAAGAGTGTCGGAGTGAGTGCGGTCTGCCTGCGGACTGAGCCTCCCCTGAGCTGCGCCACCTGGTGGACGGACGTGGAGGCGAACCCTCGAACTTTACTGCCAACTTTTCCGAGCGGCGTGCGCTGCCTTCAAGGACGGCTCGGAATTGTATGTTTTCACTGAAGGAACGTTCTGTACTTGCAACAAGATGTTGAAAAACTTGTTTTGTTTGTTTGTTACTTGGTGTCTTTATAAACTTATTTAACTTAAAGACAGCTACAAGAGTAGATCTTATACTGCCTACAACACAAATCTAAAGATCAGAAGTCTGTTTCGGTGCTTTAAATCCTGGAATCCCAACTCAGTGCAAATCATAAAATCCATTTTTTTCTCCCACTCAACCTTTATTTATACAGGGTAGTCTCATTGAGTCACAAGGACTCATTTTCAAGAGACCTGTTTTAAATAGTACTGACAACAATAAACAACAATAAAATGGAATTAAAATAAAAAGTAATGTTATTAAACAATAAAATCAAGGTACCTCATAAAACAAGGTAAACTACTAAAAACAAGAACATATTTGCTTTGGTGTTTCTAATGACCTTATCAATTGTTTAAAATCCCTTAAAGAAATCAAAGTGTACAACTTCAGGATAAGATAGGAGGAAGGACTGCTGGTACCAACTTTCTGTTTGAAAACAACATCCCTTTGGCTTTATCAGCATTTAGTACTAATTTGAGATGGAACAAATCTGACTGAATGATGTTAAATGCAAACTGTAGAAACTGGAAAACCTTGGCAACTGTTTTACCTCGACAATAAACTGTATCTTCGGCATAGAGATGTAAGGAGGCATCAGGAATGTTTTGACCTACATTACTTACTGTATATAAATTGTAAAGAGAGTGTGTCCTAAAACTGAGCCTTGCTGCACACCCTTATTAACAGTTAAATATTGTGTTGTACACATTGCCTTCAACCTGAGATAATTTGAAAACCATTCGATAGTGTGATCTGAGAAATCAATATCTGAGAGCTTATGGCATAAGATGCCATGATCTAGTATCAAAAGCTGCAGACAGGTCTAAGTAAAGGGTAGCACCAATCCTTGGAATCCAGTGCTGCAACAATATAATTAAAAACCTTCAGCGAAGCAGTCATTGTGCTATGTTGTTTCCTGAAGCCAGATTGGTGGGAAGATAAAATGTTAAAATAATTCAAATACTTCTTGACTTGAGTATTCACCAGTTTTTCTAAATCCTTAGCTAGAATACAGAGTTTGGGAATTGGTTGATAATTGTCCAGTATAGTGGGGTCTCCTCTCTTCAATAATGGTAGAGCAAAAACTGTTTTTCAAGCATTTGGAACGGTATTTTGTTGTATGGATGGATGAAGGCTGGCCTAACGTTACCTGCACACTTTGCAGTGATTCATTGAACCAACTCCCCTCTCACCATTAGTTACTTTCAAAGTAACAAACAAATCAAAAAGCCGCAACATGAATGTAACTTGTAATGCAACGCGTTATAGAAATGTAGTGTTGTAGAAAGTACAGATACTTGATGTAAAATGTAGTGAAGTAAAAGTATAAAGTACCCACATTTAACTCTACTTAAGTAAAGTACAGATACACGAAAAATGTACTTAAGTACAGTAACGAAGTATTTGTACTTAGTTACATCCCACCACTGCACTTGTGGTACATGAGGTGGAATAAAATTGTGTACCCAATGTACACACCCCACCCCAAAATAGCAAAATTAAAAAGTATTAAAAAAAAACAGTATACAAGGATCTAAGATATACGCCAAACACTAACAATGTAAAATAATAAGGTACATTAAACAGTATATTAAACAGCAGCCTGAACATGAGTCTGTAGTGAGCGGATGGCTATTAATACAGCAGCTTAAAGACAAGAAATCAGTTATTCTGTTACAGTATTCTTAACAGTTTGTAATTGTATTACAATTATTATGAAATGTATTACAATTACAATTTGTAATTGTAATACTTATTCAGTTATTTTGAACTACATCAAATGATGCAATTTGAACGAGTTCACTCCAGCAGTTTTCCAGGTATATTGAATGTAATTCTGAAATGTGGTACGCACTCAAGAGTACACAAAACACTTGGCTGAATCCACTGCAAACCACATGCGTAGAATCCCGAGTTATGTGCCTAACCCACATTAGGCTGACCGTAGTCTGTGTAAGAAAACAAATATGGTGGAATTGGACAAGTGTAGGATCTCAGAGAAGACATTTAGGTGGAAATACAACAGAGATTCCTCTGCTAAACGCAGAAAAGAAAAGATAAATAAGACAACTATTTATCGAGGACCAGCTCAGCATTCAAAGTGAAACTTCTGCTTCCTATTTTCAGTCTCTCCGGCTCTTTTCGTAAGTAAACAAGCACACCAATTAGTTAGCATATGGACACAAAGTTTGCTTAAAAATTTAAGGGTTCATTAACCATCCATATGAGGAAAATACTGTGCAGATTTGTTTATTACTTCATCAAATTATCAGTCTGGTCGTCATTACTTTGCAGTGAGAACTTGTAATTATTCAGAATTAATGGTCACCAATACAATTTTAAGGTGCAGTATTACTACAGTTTAACACTTTCAATCATTCCAATAATGGTCAGTCTGGTCATCTGCACAGTTTCTTTTTTGTGGAAAGACGTTTTGCCCTCTATCTGGAGGGCGTCATCAGTCTGAGGAGTCCCAAATAAACTGTTTCCCCACCAAGCAGTACATTCCTTTGGTGGACCAATCAGTTTGCTGGCGATAAGGTGGTTTCTGGGGGCTGCATTGTCTCCTGTCGACTCCTCCCAGGCAGGCAGCCACAGCCAAAGTGGTTCAAGACATCAAAGTTCATGCTCAATCATCCAGGTACAAAATCCAATAATGGTCAGTCTGGTCATCTGGACAGTTTATTTTTTGTTGAAAGTACGTTTCGCCCTCCACCTAGAGGGCCTCATCAGTCTGAGGTGTCCAAAGTGGTTCAAGACATCAAAGTTCATGCTCAATCATCCAGGTACAAAATCCAATAACGGTCAGTCAGGCCATCTGGACAGTTTACTTTTTGTGGAAAGACGTTTCGTCCTCAATTCAGAGGGCTTTATCAGTCTGAGGACTCCTCGGGCTGATGAACAGCACATTTTTTTTTTTTCATTTAGCCTTTATTTATCCAGGTTAGTCTCAATGAGCCACGAGAACTCATTTTCAAGAGAGACCTGTTTAGGGAGCACATGGTGGGGGTTAAGGGCCTTGCTCATGGGCCCAGAGTGGGGCGAATGAGGGTGGGGGCAAGTGTGGGTGTTTCACCTACCCCACACACAATTTTGATGTTGTCGGGGCCGGGGCGTGAACCGGCAATCTTCGGATCACAAGCCCACCTCTCTAACCTCTGCGCCACCACTCCCCCGACATTAACATTAACATGTTTTCCTGAAAATCAACAGTTTTTCTGAACAGAAAAACTTACACATGTACTAAGGTATCGAAATTTAAGGCTGTGAAAACAGATAAATTATATATGAGCTTACAAATACACAAGCATTTACATGAAATAACATCTTAACAACTGTTTTCCCCTTCACAATAATACTTCTGCTTCAGGAATGTGCTTTAAAGCCACAAATATCTAGCGTTGAAATCTAAATTTATGGTTACAGAGGTCAGAGGACGTGTTTTTCCAAAATCAGTTACTGTATGCACAAAACTGAAACAGCTGTTCGCGAGCATTGTAGAAGTTGTGTTTAGATTATTTTAGTCTAAATAAAAAAGAAAACAACTAAAGAACAAACTACAATCATAATAAATATATATACCAGGAGCTCAAACTTCCTAACAAGCCTAAAAAGGCACACCTTTAATGTGAGGGTTTAACGTCTGCTTTACAGTCACTCTAAGAATCTGCAGGAAATACTTACGATTTTTGTGGTTAGGTGTACTGTTTTTACTGTTATTGGTGAACAAATATGTTTATTAAACTAATCAAGGCGACAAAAGCCGTAATTATCTTGACCACAGCAGTTTATTTCAGCAGACAGTACAAGATAAGCATTTAAAGAGCTAGGTTATTACAGGAGACAAAGTGCAAATTCACACAAACACATTCAGATCAAACTGATTCTCTGATTAGTCAAAAATCACATGTAAAATATCAATTACATTTAAAACATTTTTTACACAGCAATTCAAAACATAACTAAATTCAGGATGAGTTATTATTTACTTGGAAATAATGATGATAATACTTCATGGTAAAACAGTGGTTCAGATACTTGCATTGACACGCACACAGAAACTTAAAAATATATATTATACATTTCCTGTAGTGCATTAACACTTGCATTTTAAAAATGGAGGAGAAATTTGTAACAGATTAACTCCATTGTTTTCTGTTTTGTTCTGTTTCCTGTGAGCCAGAAGTAGCTTAAGGCAGGAAAACGCTTCTTGACTATCGGTTTGACTGCGTTCCATTAACAACATAAACATTCGCCCTTTTTTGACTGTGCTGACTCAAGCCTATGTTGTAAGTGTGCTTGCATAGATGTGCCCCAGACTGATTGATTGTCAGAGTCAGGTGTTGGCCCAAAAGTATGACATAAAACAGACCCTACAATTTGATCTCTGGATCTAGAATGCTTGCAGAAGCCTACCAGCAGCTCTTAGATCGACTCAGAGGTTTAGCCGGTTTTCCATCTAGTGGGACGTTAAAACAATCATTGCGCACTGTGAAGTCTTGCTGAAAGTAGCCGAACGGACGGCTGCTGTCAGGCGACGTCAATCCAGTTTTGAAGGAGCCTCGCAGGTCCATGTTGATACAGAGAACTCCAGACAGCAGCTGCCTCTTGTACTGGTCAAGACGCACAAAGACATCCTGGACCGAGGAGCTGCTCCCGTTCATCCAGGTGGGAAACAGGCTGGTGGAGCTGGATCTGGATGGGAGGGACCTGTAGTGACGCAGCTCCAGCTGGCAGAACAACCTGTCAGGAGATGTTAGCAACATACAACAGATTGAATGAGGAATTGATTGTATTGTTAAAATGTCTAGTCACAGAAAGGCAAAGGCACACAGTGTTTTTCTAGTGTCTGTGTGTTTGTAAGTTCCCAAAATACCTCATAAACAACTGGACAAATTATAATGAAACCTGTAGAAAGTCATGGTTGGGTGCTATGAATGGCTTATTCCAATGCAAGACGGCTACCACAGGTAACTAACACCAGCCAACACAAACTAACGGTCAATTTTACTGATACTGAGCTGAAATTTAATGTAGTAGTTGTTAAGAGTTAATCAAAACCCATACTCTGAGAATAAGATCCCACTCAAAGGTGGTGGATGATCTGCGTGTCTTTATGAATACTATAATACCGTATTAGGTATTTAATAAATAGTGGTTAAAATGTCCTGATGCATGCTCAATAATCCAGGTAGAAAAATCCAAAAAAGTTCAATCTGGTCCTCTGGACATTAAAAAAAAAAACAAAAAACAAAACAAAGCAAAAAAAATGTAGAAACGTTTCGTTTCGTCGTTTTCGTCTCTCAAGTGGTTAACATGCGTCTCTATGAATATAATGTACCAAAACATGATGCACAAATATTGTAGGAGGTGCAGTAATTTCCAGAAACTGCTAATCCTTTCTGTTATTATATAAATGTAAACATATTTACCATGATTCACTGGTATATACTGTAAATACGCAAATATTTAACACACACACACGCACGCACGCACGCACGCACGCACACACACACACACACACACACATATATATGTATTTGTGTGTGTATGTATATGTATATATACCCATTATCCCTCCTCTGGACATGTCCAAACCATCTCAGTCTGGCCTCTCTAACTTTATCTCCCAGTTGTTCAACCTGTGCTGTACCTCTGATGATCTCATTCCTAATCTTATCCAGCCTTGTCACTCCTAAGGAGAACCTCAACATCTTCATTACTACCACTTCCAGTTGTCTTCTGTCTTTTTGTCCATGTCTCTGTCTCCAGGCCATACAACATAGCTGGCCTCACCACTGTTTGTAAACTTTTCCTTTGACCTTTGCTGACACTCTTCTGTCACAGATCACTCCTGAAACTTTTCTCCATCCACTCCATCTTGCCTGAACTCTTTTTTTCACTTCTTTACTGCACTCCCCATTTTCCTGGACAGTGGACCCCAAATACTTGAAGTTCTGCACCTTTGTGACCTCCTCACTGTTCCACCGGCCTCCCTCTCATTCACACACATGTACTCTGTCTTACTACAACTGACTTTCATTCCTCTTCTTTCAAGTGCATACCTCCACCTCTCAGAGTTCTCTTCCACCTGTTCCCTGTTCTCACCACAGAACACAATGTCATCTGCAAGCATCATAGTTCACGAGGATTCCTGCCTGACCTCATCTGTTAGTCAGTCCATCACAGAGCAAACAAGAAGGGGCTCAGAGCCGATCCTTGATGCACTCCCACCTCCACCTTGAAGCTATCGGTCACTCCTACAGCACATCTCACCACTGTTCTGCTGTCCTCATACATGTCTTGTACCAGTCTAACATACTTATCTGCCACTCCAGATTTCCTCATGCAATACCACACCTCCTCCCTCGGCACCTTGTCATATGATTTTTCTAAATCCACAAAGACACAATGGAGTTCTTTCTGACCCTCTCTGTACTTCTCCATCAGCATCCTCAAAGCAAAGATGTCATCTGTGGTGCTCTTTCTTGGCATGAAACTATACTGCTGCTCACAGATAGTCACCTCTCGTCTTTTAAGTCTTGCTTCCACAACTCTCTCCCAGATCTTCATCGTGTGGCTCTTCAACTTAATTCCCCTGTAGTTGTTACAACTCTATACATCACTCTTGTTCTTAAAAATGGGCACCAGCACACTTCTTCTCCATTCCTCAGGAATTTTCTCATCCTCAAATATGCCATTGAAAATTTGAGTCAAAAACCTCACTGCCATCTCTCCAAGACATTGCCAAACCTCCACTGGTATGTCATCAGGTCCTACTGCATTCCCCTTCTTCATTCTTTTGAGAGCTTTCTGGACTTCACCCTCACTAATCTTTCCCACTTCCTGGTCCACAGTTTCTATGACCTCTACTCTTCTTTCTCTTTCATTCTCTTCATTCATTAGCTCCTCAAAGTACTCCTTCCATCTTCCTGTCACACTCTCCTCACTTGTTAGAACATTACCATTCCTATCTTTAATAAGCATAACCTGCTGCACATCCTTTCCAGCCTGATCTTTCTGTCTTGCCAATCAGTACAAGACCTCCTCTCCCTCTTTAGTGTCCAGCCTCCCATACAACTCATCATACGCCCTCTGCTTTGCCTTAGCTACTTCCCTCTTTGCTCTATGTCCCATCTCTTTATATTCCTGTCTCCTCTCTTCAGTGCTCTCACTGTCATATTTCTTCTTGGCTAATCTCTTTCTTTGAATGGTGTCCTGCACTTCACTATTCCACCACCAGGTTTCTTTATCATCCATTCTCTGTCCAGAAGACACACCAAGTACCTTCCGGTCTCTCTAATTACTGTAGTAGCACAGTCATCTGGAAGTTCTTTCTTACCACGCAGAGCCTTTAACAGCTCATCTCTGAATTTCTCACAACATTCTTTCTTCTTCAGCTTCCACCATTTGGTCTTCTCTGATTTGACTCTTTTTCTCTTCTTTACAACAACAGTCATTCTACACACATGAGTGTGGGGTGGGGGGATGAGAGACATTTTGGGGATAAAGTGTGCTGCCCAGAGACACCACGAGGTATGCAGTGACCGGGGATTGAACCTGGGACTTTTGGGTCCCGAGCCGGCTGCCCTGCCTTTATATTATTTGAAATATATATATATATATATATATAAAAGATGTAAAGGATTCAAGGTTCTTTGTTGTCATTCACATCGCAAGCGGCACATGATAGCGAGTAAAAACAGTAAAAATATTTGTCAATTTGCTTTGTACTGGGAAGCAGGTAGTATAAAGGGGATTTTCATATGATTTCATATGGCTTCTGATGAAGCCTTCCGAATCGAAGGCGAAACGTTTCAGCACAAAAAAAGAAACTGTCCAGATGACCTGATTGAAAAATGTTGGATTGTATACCTGGATTATTGAGCATGGACTTTGTTGATTTTCATATATTTTTTCTAAAATAAATAGCAGAAGATGACACTTCCAGAGCAGCACGGTGACGCAACTGGTAGAGCTGCTGCCTCTCAGCGCGCAGGTTACCCTGGTTCAAATCCCAGCCCGAGGGCCTTTCTGGGTGGAGTCTGCATGTTCTCTCTGTGCATTCATGGGTTTTCTCCGGGTACTCTGGTTTCCTCCCACAGATAAAAAACATGCATGTTACTCTGACTGGTAACCCTAAATTGTCCCTAGGTGTGAGTGAGAGAATGAATGGTTGTTTGTTTCGTGTGTCCCTGTGATGGACTGGAGACCTGTCCCCCGCCTCTTGCACAGTAATAGTTGGACATGAGCGCCAGTGACCCCCGTAACCCGAAAAGGAAGAAGGGAGTAAAAGATAATGGATGGATGGATGGATGGACACTTCCAGAGTTTTGAATTTGAGTGAGGCAATATGTTTATATTAAAGGTCAGCTGGGACAAAAACAAAGCTAAAAACATGACTTTCATTTGTTGTCCAACTCTAAAAATTATACCTAATTAGCAATAGTTACATTTATTAACGTGAAGATAATAAAGTACTGGTTATTGTGTGTTTTATCACCCTCTACTGGCTATATAGGTTATCACTGCTGACAGTTTGTACTGTTAACAGGGGTACACAAACATGTCAAGACCTGTCTTATTTTAAGGTTATGTGCCATTATGCAACTGTAACTGTAGTTCTGACTGTATAAACAATTACCTGGCAGAAACGTGCTGGCAGAAGCTTCTGGAGGCCTGACGAAGGATACACTGGAGGATTTTCAATATTTGCTCTCGAATCCACCCCACATCTTCCTGCACATCTGGCAGCCACTCCAGAAGCCTGCACATGGAACGCATCATTATCAGACAACAAACATAGTAGGTATCCCAAATGAAAGCAATGAAGTACAACAGCAGAACAGCCATTTATGACCAAATATGTATTAGAAGAAAAAAATATAGTTTTTAGATTTAACTATGCATTAAACTCTCTAAACATCACTTTGGTGAGCTAAAGATAAAAGGCTAAATCATGTTGAAGGATCCAACACTGAGGAGGTGCAAATAATTCACACAGCACCTGAGAGTCAAGGACATGGCAGACTCCAGAGGGAGCGTGTAGGGCAGCATCATGGCTGACGCCATCCTGACAGGAAGCAGGTTGCCTAGCGACTGCACCAGGCTCCGCCTCTCCATGCAGGCCTCAATGAGAGCTGCAGAGGGAGATAAAAACATCATTACCCACCTTTCCTCCCAAGATGTTTATACACTTTAGACAAGTGATACAATCTTTAGTTTATGCTCTTTCACAATAAAAACACATGTTCAGACAATAATGCTGTTAAAATGCAAAGACAGTTATTTCTTCACTGATCTTTGCATGAAAAAGAAAGTATAACGTCTCCTACAAACAAAAAACCATGGATCATTTTTAGTGTTATACTGTCATAGTTTATACGTCATATTTCTGGCCGTGCTGAAAATAACGCCATTGGAGTTTTAAATCTATTGATCCTACAGTAAAAGCAGCTCCTGGTGTTTGGTTTATAACTCGACTTAAACCGTCACGTTCATTTCTGACAAGACTTCATCACTTTGTCAAACAGTTAGGTCTGCACAAAATAAGCTGGTAAATACTTTAATAAAAGAAGTTCACTCACTTGTTTTCCTGAACAACCTACACAGCAGAACATCTATATCTGCTTAAAATCCTAAATATTACACGCAAGAAGAGCGAAGGAACTCTGACTGAGACCTGTTAAGGCCGGGACAGTTTCTGCAGCTGACCTGAGGACTCCAACAATAAAAATGTGATAAATGGACTGTTTCCACCAGCAGAGGTCAAATGCTTTGATCATTTGAGAAATAGGAACCTAAAACCAGAAAATCAAAGCTAGCAGTTTTAGTTCTTTTTATAACCATTTTGCACTTAAATAAAAAGAAACTAACATCTTTTGCTCCTGCTGCACAAAAGTAGGTCTACAGTGAGGTGCAAAAATCTTAAGCCTCCAATCATTTCTGTTTTCTTCCACTCCTAAAAAGCCAAACTACTTTGTAATCTTTTGAACGATGTCATAATTGCTCGTTTTTTATGAGCTTTAACGGTCTTTCCATGTTTTCTATGAACTTTTTCGTTGTAATTAGTTTTAAGATCAGTTCAGGACATGACCATTTTCAAAAGTCTGCTTTTCTATGTTAAACCACTGAACCTATAAAACACAGAACTATTTAAAAAGGCTGTTTAAAATTCAAGTAATTAACTAGTGTTGTGTTGACAAATAATAAAAAACTTTTTGAAGAACTAATGTTAAAATTGATATTCAGGCATTTTGTATCAAACAGAATGTCACAAAGACACAACTTGTTGAAGTTTCTTTAAATGAAATTCTGAAAATTGCCGAAGATAACACAATTTTATACACATAACAGTATTTTATTATAAACAAGAGATTCTCCAGGAACTATTAGTTGATGGCTTTAACAAATGTCAGCATCTGTCATGTGGTGGTGTGTCTCAAACTGGAAGGACAAACAAACTAGTATTTGACTGTCTCCAGCAGACATAAAAACCAGCAGGGTTTTGCTGATTTTGTGTCAACAAAACCCCGAGGCAGAACCTGCCAAATGCTCATGACCGCTTCAGTTAATCAATCAACTGTACGCAGAGTTTTTATGCACGACTGTCACAAATCAAAGTGCCTTAACAACCAACCAACATATAAAAATACTCTATATAAGAACTGGATTAAAAGTGGGCAAAATACATAAAAAACTAGAGAAATTGTGACTTTGCAGCAAAACACAAGACTTTTTCACGGCGGTGCAACTAGACCAGGGGTCTGCAACTTTTACGATCAAAAGAGCCTTTTCTGCCTCTTTGATCACTAAATTAAACGTATCCAGAGACACAAAACCTGTTACAACCGTGATCCTCAACTGGTGGCCCGCGAACCACTTTAAGTTTGATGGAGGGCACTTTTCTGGCCAGTGGGGGTGACATTATAAAGCTGAAAATATCAAATGATTTTTAAGATATTTTTACATTTAAATTAAAAAAAAAAGTAAAATAGAGCATTCTTGTAAAGAAGGAATATATATATATATATAAATTTTTGCCCAAAGTAGATCGGAAGAGCGATTAGGCATGTGTG